CACTAATGATATTTTTCCCTTAATTCTTGAGCCGCTCTCATTTTGATCAGTGTCCTTTTGAGGCCTTGAATTTCCTCGCACCCCTTCACCGTTTCGAAGGATCAGCCAGCTTGTTTTCCTGCAGCGTTCTGGGGTTTCTCCAGCTGCCTGATTGTTTCTGGAAAATGAGCGTTAACGCTCCAGGGAAGCTCGCTGCCTAATTCCACGTGAAACTCTTCTGGTGTAAATTACATAGATGATCGCGAAAGGTTTGGCTACTAATAAGCATCGTTTGGAGGCAGGGCAGGGGCAGAGGAGCCTGCAACATGACTCCTAGCTTCTCCCCCGCTGCAGAAGAGAATTTTTTTGTGAACGCTTTTATCTCCTTTACAATATTGAGTGTGCTGCTGTGCACGAAGGTGCCTTGGCTCTTGTCTCTGCGAGGATCGGGGCCCACCGCCTTCGGTGCTGCCCAGCAGTGCTTCTGATCTAGCAAGGGAAGCCCCGGCAGGTGGGATCATGAGAAACCAGCTATCCTCGCTCCAGAGGAGGAGCAGCTCACTGCAGCCCAGTCCCAACAGCATCTGACAGGCGTTTCCTAACCTCTCGGGTGAAGCTGTCATCACCGCGAGGCAGTGTTTCTAGTCTCTTGCCTGAATCTCCCTCGTGACAGTTTAAGCCCGTTGCTTCTTGTCTCCTGTACACGTGGTGAAGATTTATTCTCCTGTTGTGGCTGCCTGGTTGGAGACTGGCCTGTCTGCTGTCAGAAAGAAGCCTCTGCTGTTGGGATGGGACTGTGTTGTTCATGCATACGCTTACACAACTCGTTAGAGAATGTCTGCACCGCCTGGCGAGACGGGGAAGAGCCGTGGCCCAGAGCAGCCCGGTTGCAGGGGCTGCTGAGACGCAGGCTGCTGAAATGCTTCAGAAACACGAGCGCAACCGCTCCTGTAGTGCTTTGGGTACCCCTGTGCTCAGCACACCGGCTGCCGGCCTGACCGCCGGCACTGCACGGAGGGATGAGGGGACAACGGGACCCGGGGTTTGTGCCATCCTTTAATGCCTTGCCGTTCTCCGGCCGGCGGAAGGAGCAGATACACCGTTTCTGGTGTCTTGGAGATGAAGCGCGGTGCTTACCTCATCCTCTGGCTGTGTCTGCAGGAGGAGGGGAGGATGGCAGGAGATAATGAGAGGATTACTTACAGCCAGCCTTAAATGAGCCCTGCAGCTCATCTGTGCTGCTTTCAGAGCTGAGGTGGGGGGGAGGAGGGATAATTTAGAAACACAAGGCTGGGAAGAGATTTAATTAGGACATTGAGCTGCTCTCTCCTGAGCGCCAGCCAACTCGCTTCCAGTGCTGGAGGCTCCTCTTTTTCTCCCTCCTGCACGGACAGGGCTCAGGTATGCAACTGGGTCAGTGCCTGCTTATTTCAGCATAACATCTGTCTGTGAAACAGCGTCGGGATGCACCTGCGGCTCCCACCCCCCACCCCACGCTTCGCCCTGCGAGAGCCCGGCGGTCCCTGCAGGAGCTCCCACAGCTCGGTGCCTGGGGCTGGGTGGGCGACGGCAGCGAGCCTGGTTCCTGAAGCTTCCGAGATCACCGTCACCGTCATCTCTCGAGCTGAGCTGGGTGCCCCCCCCTGCCCGAGCTGCGTTTCGGGGCAGGAGGGACACTGGCTGATTCAGTCTCTACCATTTAAACGATGGTGGGTAGCATCCCTACCATCGATTTCCTTCCTAGTACAAATCCCGTGTTACTCCCCCTCTGAATTTCCGTTTCTCCTTGTCCCCTTGCACCCACTTTGCGGGAACTCTCCTCCCAGGGCACAGCAAACCAGTGGTAGCTCCTCTACCAGTCCTCCCAGTCCAGCAGCCCCACTGCTGAGGCTCGGCCATCCCTGCCCGCTCCCACGCTGTGAGTGGGGGATTATCATCCAAGGATCACGTTAACCCTCTTAGCCCAGCCTGGGACCACGTGTGCTGGAGCCGCTCATGCCCCGTGGCCCCTAAAGCCCTTCCATGCTCCCAGAGCCCCAGCACCGGCCGTTACACCGCTGACCTACATACTTCACTGATGCATTTTAATTAGATTGATTTCCATGCAGCCCGGCGAGGCTGATTAGTCCATTTCCACGAGTCCCAGAAAATATGATTATTATTTTTTTTTTTAACCTAATTTGGAGAAAGATACTGCTATGGCAGAGCGGTGTAATGTCAGCCGCAGTACACCAGCAAGCTGCTGTCTGCCCGTGCTCTGGGAAACGGGGGTTTGTGAGCTGCGCGCGGGGGTGGTTCGCTTTTAAATCTGGCTGGATCCCGCGTACGGGGGGGGTCCAGATGGGGGAACTGCTGCTTTTCCTCCTGCGATGACCGGCTGCCATCTTAAAGCACTGCTCACAGTGTGCTGTTTGGGTATTTTTTTTTTTCCCCTGCTGATAGAATCTTTCAGGAACAAACCATTGTAGGAGAGCTCCCTTGGTGGGAGCTGACACTGTTGTGTTCCCTCCCCCTCCCTTTTTTTGTGTGCCTTAACGGGTAGACAATTTAAAATCAATTAATCCGTGTTCTGCGCCTGCGCAGGGCACTTCACTGCAATAGGGTGGTGTATGGCACAGGTGAACTGACCAATTTTGTAATCCTATTTAGAAAAAAACCCCACAAGTGTTCTTGAGAGGGCACGTTCGCCTCCCAGGCTGCTGTTAATTACGTTTCAATCCTTTAATTCCCGGCCAGCCGCGTCCCCGTCACTCCCTGCCTCTCCCCGGCCGGTGCCGGGAGGTACCCCCTATCCACCCTTGCTTTTTATGGCACAGCCTAGCAGTAATTGCGTTTTTACAAATTAATGTTTTAAAACAGTTTAAATATCGCTGGTCACAAAGCTCATTGGACAACTCTTAGGTCTTTCCCAGTTTAAAAGGCCAACGGAGCGCCCATGCTGGGGGAGCCCGACCCCGGCGACAGCTGAGAGTGTTTTGCGATGCGACTTCTATCGGCTTTCCTCCAAAAGAGAACAGAAAAGTGTTTTGAACCTCAGCCTGTCCTGCTCTGTTGGGACTTTCACCGCTCT